GTTAGATTTTTAATTGTCTATGGGTTTTAGTTGGGATGTTTTAAATTTTGGGCCAAGGTTGTGTAATTCTTTTAAAAATTTTAAATTTTGTATTGGAATGTTTTTTATTTTTGGCTGTGCACCGCCCTGAGTCCAGCGAGAAGGGCGGTATACAAATTTAATAAAAATAAATAAATAAATATTTCCTTTTCATTATTCCCAGAAGAAACAGTTCTGGTGTGTATTCTATCTGGAAGCCTGTTGCTTCCTGTATCAGCTATGTATTTTCATCCAATATTTTTTTGTTTTGGAGCATAATCACCATGTATGAAAGAAGGTATCTTATTTTTGTCCACATTTCCAACAATTGGGGTTTAAAATTGGATATATTTTTGCCAATCTAGAAGGTACCAAATACCAATGGTAAAACATTTTATATTGATTTTCTTTGTACTTTTGCTGATCTGGCTAGTTTATAATTTTTGTTCCAAATTATTTCCCAATCCTCTAGTTCGATATTATGCCCAATATTTCTATCCCAGGCTATCATAGCTCCTTTTACTATGTCTTCAGCTCTGTCGAATTCTAATAAATAATTATAAATTTTGGTTATTAATTTTTCATCTGGGCCAATCAATATTTTATCTAATTGTTTTGGTAGAATTTCAATGCCATATTCATCTTTATTTTTTATATATTGTAAGTAAGGCTCTATCTACATACATTTTTAAAGTAATTCAGCAGAACAACAAATGGAGACTGAACTAGGAGATGAAATCAGCAGTACAAATGACATATCCAGGAAACAATTAATTTGCTAGCTGGACTTTTGTTTTAAAGATATACAATATGATGAACATGAATTCTACATGTAGCTATTTAAATTTTATGTCCCTTCTTACTGTACATCAAATTAATTTGCTTACATATAGGAAAGGCTATAGTATTCTAATTGCCCACTAACATAATGTAAATTTTAAACAGACACTGTAATAACTAAATAAAATACAGGTGCTTCAGAATGCTTGAAGGATAGATCAAGATACGTTTAAACACAAATTTAAAAAGCTAATTATCTAGATGTGATTAGTTCACATCACTAATGAACAGAGATAAATATGTTGAAATTTCTTATAAAGTGGAGCTGCCAAAGAATGAAAGCAGTATATGTGTGTGACTAAGTTGATTATAAATCTTATAGATAAGCATCTGCTTGAAAGAGCTGAGACTAGCAAGGCAGGTACCACTGTTTCTCTGCAGAGAGAATAATTTTGTAAATATACCTTATTTATCAAAGGCCGTCAAGAGATCAGACATATTTTTGTCAATTCAGAAGAGCAAATACTGCCTATGTCCGGAATGGGCCAACTCGCCATGACCAACTCACTGCAGGACAACTCGCCATGGCCAGTTTCCATGGGACAACCCGCTGAGGGGCAATTTAACAATTCTATTTAATTATTTAAAATAAATAAAAAAATATTTTAATTTTTGCCATTCACATTTCATTCTGTCCCTCCTTTTGCATCCTTTCTTCAATTATTCTATTCCATTATTTCTTTGATATTAGTATAACTCTTGTCCTGCAGTGAGTTGTCCTGTGGCTAGTTGGCGAATTGTCCTGCAGAGAGTTGGCCGTGGCGAATTGTCATAGACCCATCTATATTTCCCTATAGACCTACATAAAAACTCTTATCTTTGTGCTGCAGTAGATGATAAGCTGTTGTTTTTAAAACTTCATTCATGACAGTAATTTTTATCTAGATGAGTTCTATCTGAGAGCCTTCTATCAAAGAGGCCAAGTGTGGAGTAAGTATCTGAAGAGCTGTGATTTATTTCTAAACTCTAGTATGAAGTTGAGCAGTGACTGCTCTTTTTATGATCTCTCTCTCTCTCTCCCTCCCCGTCCCTCTCCACCCCCTCTCTCCCTCTCTCCAATTCAGTAATATACCAATCAGACAAGTCCAGTGCAACAAGGATACCTCTACTTTGCTTTATGATTGCATGGTTAACAGGTATGATGGAGTAGAGCTGCATTTTTTGAACCCACAAACTAACCAAAATTTATTCAAATCTAACACTGGAGTAAAGAGAACTCCATAGAAATGTAGAATCATCAAGAAATCCCAGAGGTCAAAAAAACCGAGAATTAGATTAAAGTTATTACAAGATGCTAGAGAAAGAGGGGGGTTCGATTTGCCAGATTGGGGAAAATATTATCAGCAGCAGCTTTGGTATGGATAAGTGAATGGATGCATCTCAAAAATATAAGACTATTGGGGTTAGAAGGCCATGATTTACAGACAGGATGGCATGCTATTTTATGGTAGGAAAAGCATAAGGTCCATCAGTACTTCCGGAGGCATTATATTAGGAGGGCTCTATTAGATATCTGTATTAAGACAAAAAGAAGTAATTATATGGAAATTCCCAACTGGGTGTCAACTTCGGAAATGTATACTCATCCAAATTTTACTAAATTAGGGAGGGTTGTCACCTATAAAGTTATTATGAATGAGAGAAGAGAATTGAAAGTGAGAAACATTTTAAAGGAAGAAGGAATTGAATTGGAATTGTGGGCATAGCTCCAAATACAATCTAAATTCAGCAAAGACAAAAAGGAATGGGGTATCAAGAATTATCACAATTAGATAAGATTTTATTAAGCAGGGAGGGCAAGACCATAAGTAAATTATATTGCTATTTATTGGAACGAGATATGAACGTCCACATGAACGTTTATTGGAACTATTCTGTAAGGAAAATGTAGTATAATATACCTGAGCCTCCATGAGGGTTAGATAGTGAAATATGTTACATTGAGTATTTACTGTTATATGAGACAGATACAAAACCCAAGACTAAGAATTTAAGGTCACACTGATGTAAAATGCCTACTCTTTATATGCTGTGTACTCTAAATTCTCCATTGACTGCAATAGAATGGACCATCTCTTCAGATGACTCTGTTGGCATGGTTCATTACATTTGACAAGTGAAAAAAGGAAACATCTGCTCAAATTAAATCAATGTATAACAATAGTGGCTCAACAACATTGTTGAGAATTAAATGAACGTTGTATGACGTGTCATATATCAGACAATTCTTGAGTGAGCCAAAGCTGAAGTACTCATATTACGAGTCTAACTAAGGCTCTTTCAAATCAGATTCTGAATAAGTAGGCAGAACCTGTGGGGACAGATGACCCAGATCTTCCATTTACAGACTTTTCATTTCAAAGACCCTTCTTATTTTATCCATAAACACTGAATTCCCTTTATAGGAAATGGAAAAAGTACAGGAACTAATGCAGATATGACAAAATAGTCTTCTCTAAATTAACGTGATTTTATATTGACACACAGACAATAACTTAATCTGTACTTACATATATTTTTCTAATATGCAGTAATATTTTTCTAATATTAGTTTAACAAATATGTTTATGTACAGTGCCTCTTGCAGTTGCTTAACAGTTTCAGTTGGTTCCTGATAGGATGACCCATCACCAGGTAATTTTTCAAAACATTAAGAAGGTTAAATGCTTTTCTCAAAAATGTACAGCTCTCTTAAGTGAAATAATTCAATGAACAAAAGCTAACCATAATTTGTAAAAAAAAATAAGAAACCATTAAATGTTCTTTTTAAACCACCTCAGTTAAAAATGATGAAGTATTTAAACTCAAAATTTAATGTTTATGTATTTAATGAATACTCTGTCGCTCTCTTTAGGGAACACAAAACAAGAGTTAAATCTTTCAGAAAGAATGAAGTCAGAATATCAAGAATACAAATAAGTAAGTCCATAGACTGTACGAGTGATGTGCAAGAGATGTCTGAACAGCAAGGAATCTCATTTGCTTTGAGTACTTCAAGATTTTTCTTAAACAGATACAAAAATCCTTTCCTACTGAAGAACTTTAAAGAAATTGTTAAAATTTACAACTTACTAATATACACAGTTTCACAAACAATTTCTTCTAATAGAAAAAGTTTTGACATACATTTCTTTTCTCTGTTCTTTTATGCAGTTTCAATTATTTTTCTGAAGAGAATTATCTCCAATTTGTACTTTTTACATAAAAAACAGAGAAGTAAGATCTCTATTTTAAGAATACCTGTAATACTGTATATACTTTTAAAAAGAGAAGTATTCCTTATCTTTGCTCCTATTAATACCTTTATCTTCATCTATCTAAATATAAAAAATGCCTCATTGACCCAGCAGGTCTTGGAAGCTAAGACTGGAGAAGAAACATTAGAGATTTGAGAGCCGAGGTGGCGCAGTTGTTAGAGTGCAGTACTGCAGACTAGTTCGGCTGACTGCTAGCTGCAGTTCAGCAAATCGAATCTCACCGGCTCAAGGTTGACTCGGCCTTCCATTCTTCCAAGGTGGGTAAAATGAGGACCCAGATTGTTGGGGGCAATATGCTGACTCTGTAAACCGCTTAGAGAGGGCTGTAAAGCACTATGAAGCGGTATATAAATCTAAGTGCTATTGCTATTGCTATTTCCAGAGCTGCCGGCTGGAAAGCAGTAACAAGTTGGTTCCAGGAAAATTTTATTAATATAATTGGGAGCAACCAAGTTCCTATTCACAATATGTAAGAATTTTCAGAAATGTGGAGTCCTTCTGGTATCTGAGCTTGGTTGCTTGCAGATGTTTCATGAGCAACATATATTCTCTTTTACTGGATTTTCAGAACTATCTATTCTTTGTGCTATAGATTTCTTATCTACAAACTCTGCAGAGTTTTACTAGAGAAAAATGGATCCTAGCAGAACTCTCACCAATGCTACCACACATATCATGGCAAAGTCCATAAAAAACTCTGATAATATATTTTATTTCCTTGATTTCACAAAGCATTTGTTTATATTCACAATAAAATGTAAAATATAGCCATTAAACAAGATGTTTTTATTTAAACACTTTTGATAAAACTGCCTGTCCAAAAATTATAGCAAAGCGTTCCTTGTCAAAATAGAGGAAAATGATGATTGGGCTAAAGCAATTTACCTTGTTTGTGAACAGAAACTTGTTTTGTTCCACTTTGCCAGGTGTGTGGATAGCAGAAAGTGGTGGAGGCCAAGTGTGGGTCATTTCCTTAGAAAAAAAAGAGAGAAATTTCAAAAATATAATATTATAAGGTATTAATATATTTTAAACTTGAAATTCTAAATTCTAAAACAAAGGATTTTGTGGCAGTTTTGTTGTCAACATATTCATTTTTTTAATAACAAAAATTCCAGCTGTACCAATATGTATGAAAAAACGATTCCACCCATTTTGCATTATCTCACCTTCTATTAGGCCTCTCCGGTAAACCAGATAAGAAACACAATTAGATGAAGTGATTTTACTTTATTGTAGCAGAATCTTGCAAGTCTCAAAGTACAAACTTCCTGGAGCCACTTTTAATTACTTGATCCAATAGGGCAGGTCCTTCCTAAGATTCTTTCTCTCACCATTACGCCACTAGGGCAGGGGTGTCAAACTCACATCGTCACAACGGCATCACGCGACATACCAGGACTTTCCCCCCCTTCGCTAAACTGGGCGTCGGCATGGTCAGCACATGACACATCCAGCCCACAGGCTGGGAGTTTAACAGCCCTGCAGTAGGGGCTTCTGCTTCTCTTACCTATTTGCTTCCTTCTTCTTTTCCCTCTCATTCCCTAAGATCATCCATGCATTCCATTACAACTTCCCCAAAAGCATGTTTCATAACTCCACAGCCATCAGAGCTTGCCTACTGCTAATTAATTGTGTATGTCAGTGTTTCTTAATCTTGGTAACTCTTAAGATGTATGGACTTCAACTTCTAGAATTCCTCAGCCACCATGAAGTCCACACATCTTAGAGTAGCCACGATTGAAAAACAGTGATATATGTATTCAAAAGGAACATGATTCTAAATTTAATCCCTACAAAAAAGGATACAGAAATGTGGGTGTGCACATGCGTGCACATATGCATGTATGTACGCACACATACCAAAGTATGACAATGCCCAGTTTTCTTACCATATCAACCTAGAGTTCCTAGCTGTAATTGAAACCAATTTAGAAATCCATTCTTGTCTGATCCCCAATGTGTGCATATAGCAGAATGTATATACCATCCAGGGGTGAAATTCAGCAGGTTCTGACAGGTTCTGGAGAAGCGGTAGCGGAAATTTTGAGTAGTTTGGAGAACCGGCGAATACCACCTCTGGCTGGCCCCAGAGTGGGGTAGGAATGGAGATTTTGCAATATCTTTCCATCAGGAGTGGGGAGGGAATGGAGATTTTGCAGTATCCTTCCCCTGCCACGCCCACCAAGCCACACCATGCCCAACAAGCTACGCCCACAGAACCGTTAGTAAAAAAATTTGAATTTCACCACTGATACAATCACTCTAAAATTGCAAAACCAAGACAAGAAAGGATCGAAATTAACTGCTCATAAAAGAAACTGTCATGTTTAGAAAAATAACTGGTAGCTTCTTCTTGCATATACCAACCATATACCTGCCTACAACTATATATACATATTCCTGTAAGCTGTAAAAATAGAGATGGAACAGTTTGGATAGAGACGGACTAAAGGAAAGGTAGCAGCACTAGAAACAGAAAGAAAGAAAAAAGGAATAATAAAACTGCATGAAAATTTCTTGGGGAAAAAAAGATAACATGGCAGGAAATTATAGAAAATATATAGATTTTCTGGATCCTTTTCAATTAGCTTTTTGTCCAGAATATGATAGTGAGATTAGATTAGTTGCCTTGGTGATGCTTTATGTTTGAAAGTAAATGGGAGGAGCACTGCATTAAATCTCCTGGATCTCTCCAGGAGAGATCATTTGATACCAATGATCATTACACCCTTCTGAAATAATTGGAAGGACTGAATATGGGGGACATTGTTTTGCAGCGGCTCAGCCGAACCTGAAGGTGATGCTAAGAGATTACTCTTTGACACAAGGTTTGATTTCCTACACTCTTTAACCAGTGGTGGGATTCAAATAATTTAACAACCGTTCTCTGCCCTAATGATTTCTTCCAACAACCAGTTCACCAAACTGCTCAGAAAGTTAACAACCTGGTTCTCCCGAAGTGGTGTGAACTGGCTGAATCCCACCACTGCTTTTAACACATACAACAGATCAGTGGGAGAGCTTTGGAGCTGGGTGATATCTGAATACATTTTGGCTCTCACTCTGCCAATATTTATAAGTTTAATGAAAGCACAAGTTTTCAGGCAACCTTTTAATTAATAATTGATCTGTTAATTGAATTGGTTTGATTCTTTAATTGTTAATTGAATTGCATTGATTTTTTGATTACTTTTGTATGTTTTTTGTATGTTCTTGTTCTGTCTTACAATTTGAATTCTTTGAACGGTTGTAAGCTGTCCTGATTATCAAGTAATTGATAGGCTGGGTATAAATGTAATAAACAAATAAAGTGTCCTTTGCAGCAACTAGTTATTTAAGCCATTGTTCATTTGTTTTTCACTAATTTCTTCTATTATTAGTGAATATAAGATAGCTGACTCAGTTCATAGGTAATGACAAAACAGTATGTTATATACCAGGTAGTCCTTGACTTACAGCAGTTCAGTCAGTGACCATTCAGAGTTACAATGGCACTGAAAAAAGTGACTTATGATCATTTTTCACACTTACAACCTTTGTAGTATCACCATGACCATATGATCAAAATTTAGATGCTTGGCAACTGGTTCATATTTATGACTGTTGCTGTGCCCCAAGGTCATGTGATCTCCTTTTGCAACCTTTTGACGAGCAAAATCAATGGAGAAGCCAGATTCTCTTAATAACTGGGTTATTAACTCATCAACTGTGACAAGAATGGTCATAAAACTCACTTAACAAATGTCTCACTTAACATCATAAATTTTGGGCTCAAATGTGGTCATAAGTCAAGGACTATCTGTACATCACACTGAATCCTTCTTTCATAGTTTTATTTTCCACCAAAATGCAATCTTTTATTTTATTGGATGCTATAAAAATTACCGAATGCCTTCATAGATGATGCTTAGAAACTGAACAATTTGCAATGAATATTAGATACAATGATGCAGTAAGGAGTATGGCTCCAAAAATTAATGCCTGAAAATCAAGGTAGTTATATTTCATAGGGCTAATAGACAGAAAACTGCAAATTATACATAAATGGGAAAATACCAGAGAAAGTAGACAATTTTTATATAGTGCTTTTTCCTTTAGGAACTCAAGACAGACAGAGAGTTACTGGCTCAGTTATCCAGGTTACAGGCTCAGGTTAGACTTGAACCTGGGTCTTTCTGATCCTAATCCAATATGACAATGACATTTAGTGTATTTTTGCAGAATGTTTATTAAAGACAAGAAATTGAGACATTTTAAGACATGCAAATACTGATAGAAAGCTAGTGAGAGTATGTGATTTGGAAAGTAAAAAATCTTTGCCCCCCAAAAATATGCAAAAATAGCTGTGTATAAGAGTGTATTTCAGTTCTTTTGTTATATGGAAGTGAGAGTTGGGTATATCAGGAGATAAAAAGAAACATGATATTTAAATATTACAAGAAAAGATGGGATCAGTAATAAATGGATGCTGAATTTATGTGGATTGAATACAAAATAAATGAATGAGGATTGAGCCACAAAATAAATATATGATGGAAGAATGAATGGTGGAAAACCGAAAAAGTTATTCATGGATGGATGGATGGATGGATGGAATTGATGAGAACCTCAGAAAAAGTGCAATGAGAAGTTTAAAGAACAAAAGCAATGTATGATGTAATTTATGGACATAGTGGAAGCAAGGATCATTCACAAGACCAGAAAGCCCCAGAAAGTATAGTAAATGGTGTTGCTGTAAATAGTTTTAACTATAGTTCTTTTAGTTTTCTGTTGTCATGCCTTTAATTTATTTGGCTTAGAATTTATTGCTCATTTTCTATGCTATGCATAATGTTCTTTACCCTGAAGGGAAATCATGTATGTATGTATCTAATAAAAAGAAGCTGGTATTGTGCCTCTAAATATTTTGTCAAATTGTTGAAGGTATTTGGCTAGTCATTTGTGAGATGACTAAGTTGCATCTCAGCATCAATTTAGGAGTTACAGCAGGTGCTTAAACAAAAGCAATGGACTGTGTAATAAAACAATTGTCTGAAAAATGGCCTGGCACAGACAAGCTGAGATGATGTGATTACTGTACTCAGGGCGCAGTCTTAGTCTGCTTAACCTTCTTTTCCCCAAGAATTGTAGATTCTAATTCCTGAATTGCCAATAAGATAAATGCAGTTTGTTTTAACTTGTCAGATGACAAATACAAGAAGGAAATGAATATGAATGGCTGCCTCTTAGAATGGGATAATGTAAATAGAATATGAAAGGAAGAATTAAGATACATCAAGGTCAGGATCATTATAGTCTAAACACACAGCCTAGAGCCCCTCATGAGAAAGATGGGTGGCTTAGAAATATGACGTATAAATATAAATAACAATAGTAACTTCACCCACTGCATAGAACCGTGATGGTGAACCTATGGCACGTGTGCCAGAGGTGGCACGCAGCGCCCTCTCTGATGGCACATGAGCTATCACCCCAATTCAGCTCCGCTGTGCATGCGCGTGCATCTCCCACCGGCCAGCTGGTTTTCAAGTCTCTGCTGTGCATGCACATGGGGCGGGGTGGGTGTGGGAGGACTGTGCATGGATGTGTGGGGTGGGGTGCTTGGGGGGGCACGCATACATGCATGGGGTGCAGGGACCTGCACACCCCTGCGTGGGAGGCGGGGCACATGCAGTGGGCCACACGCACATTGCATTTTGGGGGCTCGGGCGCAACGCTTTGGGCACTCAGTCCAGAAAAGGTTAGCCATCACTGGCATAGAACATACATTTAGAAGTATTAGCACAATTGCATTATTTTTGCTACTTCTTACTAAAACAGTAGCCACAATCTGAGGATTATCTTGGTACAATTTCAAGTTATGAAAATAATGGAGGATAATTAAAAAAATGAGTCCAGCTGATCACCACTATGTGACAGATGGCAGAATACAAGTAAGCAAAAGAAATACAGAAATAAATAAAAATCAG